CTAAAAACAAAAAAATTTAATATATTAATTAATATAATATAAAAAAAAAATATATATCTATTATATCTATATATATATATATATATATTATTAGATGCATACTCTAAGAGTTCTTTTGGAGAATTTACAGGAATTTCTTTAACACCAGCCCAATAAATATGGCCGTTCGAATCTTCTCTTATCATCAATTCATTTTTTCCTTTTTTAATATTATCACGATTTTGATGATTTAATAAATCTACGAGATCTTCATTATATAATTCCAGAAAAGTCACAAAGACTTCGAATTGGTAGGAAGGATTCTTCGATTTTCTGTCGTTAAGATCATTGAACAGACGATGTATCGAACGTGGGACCATACCCGCAGCTTCATCTATTGATTAATTTAATGACGTAAGCAAACATATAAATGATAACGCGCATATTATACATATCAGATATAATGTTGATTATACTGATTAAAAAAAAATATTGTTAACCGCTTACTTATGTGTTCAGCTGAAATGTTTGAGCCATCAAGGGCTGTACCCATGCTATAAGTTTTACCACTACCAGTTTGACTATAAAGTAAAACATTATTAATAAAAGTTTTTTTTTAGAAAAAAATTTCAATAATATAATTAAATATTAATAAATACCCATAGGCTAAGATTGTAACATTATAGCTAATAAACAAGGCGAAAAAAAATAAGATATACGGATTAGGAAATGATTTGATGAAAGATGACGCGTTAAAGTATAAAATAAGTAGTTTAGCCGAATGTGTCAAAAAATGTAATCATGGTGACACACGTGTGACGTAAAACCAATAATCGGATTTATGTACAACATTAGGCAAATGAAATGCGTAGGTAGAACCGTAAGCTTAATCCGAGAAAAAAAAAAAAAAAAGAAGCATACCCTTCAACAAATTTATCAAGAAGAGATATTGCACAATCTTGAAAAACTTCCTCTTGTTCAGTATCCGAAGGAAAAACGTAATCAAAGGTGAATGAGCGGTCGGTTCCAATGAGAATTTGTTGCGGAGCATCGGGGATAGGTGTTAGGCACTCATTACAACCTTGGATAGTCTCTTTTTCGCTCAACGGCCTAATTCTTAAGGCAACCCTAATGCACAAAAGAAGAAAAAAAGTTTAACGATAAGATTTTAGAAAATGAAAATTTAATAAAATATTTTTAGTAAAAACTTACTTTACAGATGTAGAAGTCATATTGATTGTTTATGTGTGTTGTTTTTTGTTTGTTTTTAT